TATCAAAAGACTCAGACAGACTAACATTAACAGTGTTTGATTTTAAAATAAAGTCAAGTATGGATAGGCAAGCTAACCTTTTTTCTATAGATACTGTTTCTTCCTTTGTTGCACTAAATTAATTTGTCTTCAAATGCTTTCCAATCTTCTGCCAAACACAACTTCCAAAAATGGACACTTTCTTCTACTCAACTTAAGTTCCGTGGGATATCCTCTCTCTTGTGATTCCAAACAACTACTCAAGTCACTCTGCCAAGTCACTACCAAGTCACTCTGCCAAACAACTTCCAAGATGGTGATACTATTAGTGTGTTTTCCCATTGGAGTCAGAGTCCCTTCTCCTATGCTCTCTTCACTGCAGTCACACAACAACTGCCTGTCAAAACAAATCCTTTGTTCCGTCCCCTCTTCGGGATTTTCCTTTTTTTGAAAACTACAGAGCAGTTATTTTCCTTTCCCTGAACCATTAGAACTAGATTAGCTTGCCTTTTAACTGTTGAACATTAATTTCTAATAAAGGTGTACATTACAATATGTACAACAATGAGTCCTAATGAGACTGATGTTTTGCATTTATGTTTTAATGAATTCTTGGTAACATTTTGTAACTTATCTATTTTAAAACAAATGCTCTAGATAACTCAAATATTTTTAAAATATAAAATGTTTGTTTCAGGTTTGGATGGCTTTAGGTGACATTTTCATGTCTTATGGCATTTCATTTATCGTTTATTTATTAATAGAAGCTCCTGTAGCAGGTTTTTTCATTCAATTTATGAAAAAATAACAGATTATTGCAAATGTTCAAATCATTTATTTATGAAAGTAAAATAATATTGTTATTTAAAATGTTGTATTTAGGAAGAGACTATGAATATCTTTGTAAAAAAAACATTAAAATTACCTTCCAAAGTCAGTGAAAAATGCATTTATTTTCCTTATATTAATATATTGATTTTTTGACCTTATGGTAAATAAAGAATGAGATGGTCTGAGTGGGAGTGAATAGTAATAGTGAGAATATAAAATACTGAAAACTATGTATTAGATGCCAACATTTGACTTGCATTGTCTTCTTTAGGACTAATAAAAAGGAAGTGCAGGCAAATTGTATGGATTGAAAAGTTGACATTTAATGAACAGTTCCCATTAATTTATATGATATTCTTGACCACCATCTAAATCTTTTTTTTTAATGTCCTAATTTATTAAACTCAGTGACATATCTGTTTCAATCCATACTCACAGTCATGACTTGCCTTAAATGCATCTACTACCAATCTTTGTAATACATTTTGATTATGCTTCAAATTCAATTCTGAATCCATCATTTCTTATTCCAATTCATCTTTCCATTTTACCTTTGTTCTTCGTTTTTCCCGCTTCTAATTCCATAGTCATACTCGGTAATTTTTCTAGACAAATTCTTTTAACATGCCCAAACCTTTTTTATCAATGCTTTAGAGAATATTTCTTTTGCCTCTATCAGTTCCAGAATTCTTTCTTTTTTAATTATTTCATACTTGTCTGGATTTTCTTGCCAACCTTTTCTAAATGTTCTTTTGCCACTAACAGTTTTTTCCAATCTCTCTTATTAATGACTCACGTCTTCAAGAAAAATGTTGTTATGCTTGTGTCAATATAGTATATTAATAAATAAACAAATATAGTATATATGTGTACTCAAATATAGATTTGTAAATTATCTGTTTGTACTGGGCTGTATATTTGTATTCACCAGTTGCCAGTTACCACCAGTCACCAGTTGCCTACTCATTGTATTGATATATAAATCTGGTTAAAACTATCTGTTATATAATCAGATAGCAATCTTGTAAAATCTTCCTCATATCACATTATTACTGAATCAAAACTACAGTTATGGTCATAGATATTGCATAAGCTATTTTTTTATTATTCTGTTTTGGCTTTGTCGATTCCATTGAATGTTTTTGTTTTAGTTTACTTATTTAGGTTACAAGAAAACTTAAACAATGTTTCTCAGTTCACTGGTAACTATTGCCAGGATAAAAGCTGTAATTATGACCAGTTTCAATAAACTGTCCATGTCAGAAAATATTCAAATTGAGACGTTACATGGAGTGAAGGATTTTTCATGATAAATAACGACGAGGATAGGAATTGAATTTGAAAAAAAAAATCTTTCTCAGGGCACCATGGAGCGGAAGAAAGGAGCTGGTGGGAAGAGAAAAAACAAACGAACAATCTGACTGCTTAATGGTGAGATTCTTTTTAGAGTATCACTTTAAAACTTTTAAAGAAATATCAAGAAATCTAGCAGATAGCAATCTGGTAAATAAAATATAATTTAATAACTTTTTTAACTGGGTGATGCAATTTCTAATACCACGACTGGACATATGTAATTGTAAAAATGCCAAGAAAAAGGGTGTTATTAGACTATCTTATATTATGGTTGATTCCTTTGTTGTGCCATGGCAATTCTGTGTAAATCAGACAATATTGAGTTAATGTGCTTCAGTTGCTCCCACTACTTTCATGCCCCCATGATGATAAACAATTCCTCAAAATTATTTTATGAACTGAAGAATAGTTGGTGTGGTCAGTCAAAAAAGACTGATTTTTTTACTGACCACCCCAACTATTCTTCTCTTCATTATCCATGACAGTCAACCATTTACCAATTATTTTATGAACTGTTATTTTATTCACTAGAACCGTTTTCAAATAATATCACAATAATATATTCAAAATATCACAAATTTTGTACCAATCATACAAAAAGATTTTTTCTGATGTTTTGTGTTTGGTGGTTTTACCTACAATATTACAAGGCTTGGCTCTGGCTAAGTACTAGAGTAAAAGATTATCACTTTTCAGCTTCTAATTCTTTCCAACATTCTTCATTGAAATATTCAAACACCACAATCTCTAACTCAAACAAAAAGATGGATATGTACATCCATTCGATTTTCACTTTGACATCTAAAAGTTAAAACAGTAAATACATAATCTATCATGTAGATGAAGAAGAAAATGAAAACCTTTAAATGTAAAATGATCAAAAGGGTCAGGAATTATAGACACAAATTCACATGTTTAAATAATTTATTTATAATAGACCCTTTGCTTAAGTGTTCATCACAACACTATGAAACCACCAGTTTTAAAAAAATCGGTAACGCAAATATAATAATAATGTACAGACTAGGGATCATCAAATGCAGAAATATTACAATATAAACTATATTCTCATTTACAGTTTTGATTAAAATCTGAAAAATTAATCTTACAATATTGTCTATTGAGTACCTTATATTATTTTAAAGTATAAAATAACTTTCATTAAATGGTTAGAATTAAAATCAATATCCTTTGAATTTATGACCCTAAACATTTTTATCTGCAATGTCACTAAATGTAGAAATAGTAATTGACATGGATATTTTTTTTTTCTAGGTTTGTTACTCACAATTTAGAAAAATCTATTATTTCGGCACAGAGATTTCAGCATGCTTAAAATGGGAAAATGCCGATTTAGACTAGGTAGAGCTTAAACATAAATGGCATTATCAATACATAAATTAGAAATGTACATTCTTCTTTTAAAAAATACATTGCACCATCATATATATATATATATATATATATATATATATATATATATATATATATATATATATATATATATATATATATATAATAAAAGGAATAACTGTGTAATGATCATGATATCAGTATATTTTGTTTTTACTAAGATCACAAGAATTACACTAATATAATACATTTCATCAAAATCATAAGGAGCTAAATATTTTTAAATAAATAGACAATTTTAATAACTATATATAACACTAACATACATAATAAACCATCAATATTTTTTGATGCATAGTTGCCAATTTTAATAAATAAAATACGTATATAGCATTTTTTTCAAATACCTATTATATTTTATACCTTTCATATTTACAAGAATACATAGCATACCTTATAATATTTTCCATTGAACTATAAAAAATATATAATTAATTTAATTGCATTAGTATTAAAAGTAAAAACAGAACAAGATTCAATATTATGTAAAAAAGATATACTTGTTTCAATGTAATGAAATGTATGGAGTGCAGCAAGTAACCCCTTTTTCATTAACCATCTTAAATATTATAAGACCGGATTACTTGGCCAATCCATGCATTACTTGATAGTGTTCCCAAATTCTCAAATGATTTTAAATCATTCAACATACAACCATTAGTTAGATTGTTTTAAAACAAACACAAATATTTTGTTGTAAATATCTTGGTTAATGCAAGTATGTACAGTAAAGATTTTGAAATATATACACAACAAACACTCATAGTCAATCTTTTAAAGCTCACATCAACTTTTACCACAAAAAAGCAAAAATTGGTGGGCAAATTGAAACATTATTTTAGAAATTTCAATTTTTAAAAAATCATCTTATGAACCTTATTTAAAACATTGTTTTGTTGTTTTTTTTTTTTTAGTTTTTTTAATCACTCAACATACAAATATTATAATAGGTCAGAAAATACTTTATTTTCATTTCTTCAATGGCAGTAATTAATAATACACAAATAATTATTTCAACAGCTTTTTAAAGACCTTTTCACTTTGGTTTACTAGAGTAAAACATTAAATTTTTTTATCTCAAATGTCTTACCACAAGTTTTAAGAATAATTAACTTAAAATAAATGAATAATAGACAAAATTAACTATGATAAATACTGGCATAAATTTCAGAAATTTATACTCGACTATACTACGAAACGAACCAACTGCAATAAAACAAACAATGACTAATCCACACAATTATACAAAAGAGATTGTACCACAAGAACAATCTGTTTTAAAGCTACCATTAAAATACAGTGTATACACGGTACATTGTTCTTGTAGATAATCCTAACATATCTTAAATACACTAAATAAATGTTGTAATCTATTAAGGAGAACATGGCATATTACTTTCTAGCTTAATATGTCAGCACTCCTACATGGCATTTTTATTATCAAGGACATGTTTTGAAAAAGATAACTTCGATGTTTCTTCTAGATCTTCTTCTGGTACTTCCTCATCAACATTATGTTCTGAGTCCTTCATTCTATAAGATAAAAAAAAATGAAATAATATATAGGATTATAATTAAAATTCACATTTAAAGTTATAATATTTTCTACTATTCCATAGTGTTATTATACTTTAAACTATGCCCAATGCTCCCCGGTGCTACAGCTTACCAAAAATCCATAAACCAGGCAATCCTTTCCAACCTATTATTTCCAACAATAACTCTCCATCTTCTAAACTCAGTAAATTTCTTCTCCCTACCATCCAGTCTCTCAGTCAAAACAATCCATATGCCATTAAAAATTCCTTCCACCTATTAGATCAACTAAAATCCCTGAAAATACCAACACATTTCATCTTAGCCTCTCTTGATGCAGAAAGTCTCTTCATCAATATCCCCACAGACTGTGCTCTCAAAATAATTGAAGAAAATTGGTCTGCCATAGAACCACACACTTCCCTCAATCAATCCTCATTCCTTCAGTCCCTCTCTCTAGGTTGTAACTCCGGCTACCTATCTGTTCAAAACCAATTTTTTCATCAAACTTCCGGCTTGGCGATGGGTAATTGCCTTGCACCAGACCTCTCCATTATTGTCCTTAACAACCTAATTGATTCGATACTACCCAAATTTCTCAATGTTATTTTTTTTCAGTAAAAAATATATTGACGACCTTTTATTAATCCTCAACACCCACGCTATTCCAAACATACTTTCTGCATTCAACTCATACCACCCTCGACTCCATTTTACCATTGAAATAGAATCAAATAATTACCTCCCATTTCTTGATCTCCTCATTTCCAGAAATAATGATAATACCTTATCCACCAATTGGTACACCAAACCTACTTACTGCAGACGTATCTTAAACTATTTTTCCCAACATCCTTACCACCAAAAAATTAGCTAAAAACCAGATACACCATATTCTAACATCAACCGACCCACAATTCCACGAAAATAACCTAACCAAACTATACAAGATACTGAAATCCAAAACCTTTCCTAATCACATTATAAAAAACCTAATTAAAAATAAATCCAAACCTCATATTCACCAGTCTCCCATAAACTGCTCTCAATCTCCCACCACGATTTGCCAATACAGATCCATTCCATACATCTCAGTCCTATCTCAAAAAATCAAAAAAGCTTCAACTTCCAAATTCCCTTATCTACAAATAGTTTTCAAAAATAACAATAAATTAGGAAATCTATACACCAAACTCAAAGATCCTGTTCCGCTCCTACAACAATCAAATATTGTATACCATATCACATGCTCTAGCCCAAACTGCAATTCTTATATAGGAGAAACCAAAAACTATTTTAAAAAACGAATATTACAAACTGTCTTCCTTCAAGGTTGTGTTTAAAGTGTTTGACCGATTCGGCTGATGCGAAAGGACGTGTTTCTACATCGTCTCTCAGAATTTGCTTATTTTGCAGTGAAATCTTTGAGATTATTTATTCAAAACAAGTCAAGAATACATAACAACAATTGATATTTATTGTTTGTTATAAATTATAGGGTTATTTTTATTTTATTTATTTTTTTTTTTTTTCATTTTTTTTTCCCTTATATGCGATATCACAATCAGGCCATGTCTAGTAGAGCTTCTATCAAGAGAATTCGGCCGTTAGGCTCAACACCTTGTTCTTCGCCTGTCAAACAAAAGCCTCGTCAATGTCGTCAAACACCTGCAGTAACGCCTATTAGCTCCAGAGAAAATGAAACCCAGCCAGGAACATCATCAAAACCAACAATTGAAGAACTTCAGCATCAACCAGGTACATCTTCACAAGAGATAACCGAACAATCTCCGTTTTTCACCCCTAACCCCTATCAGGTGCTTCAGAATGATAAAGAAGTGATGGAATCCGCTTCAATACCAAGAGATCCCCGACCTCCACCCATATTCGTTAAAAACATAAACAATTTTCAGTTACTATGCTCACAACTGAACAAAATAACAGGCTCTGGAAGCTATTCATGTCTAAGCAGAACAAAGGACACGAAGATATCACCAGATACAGCTGAAACCTACAGAAAAATTGTGAAGTATCTAACGGAAACCAACGCGGATTTTCATACGTACCAATTACGGCAAGATCGAGCTTTGAGGGTAGTCATAAGAAATCTACACCCCTCAACACCAACCGAAGCAATAGAAGAAGAATTGAAAACTTCAGGTTTCATAGTGCGCCAGATTACAAATGTACAGAAGGAGAGTAAAGAACAGCCAGGAGTAAAAGTTCCTCTACCCTTATTTTTCGTAGATTTGGAGCCAAATCAAGGGATCGAAAAAATATACGAAATAAGAAGAATATACTACACAAGTGTTATAGTAGAGAAGCCATATCCTAAGAGGGAAATCGTACAGTGTCACAATTGCCAGGCATATGGCCATACCAGGACTTACTGCCATCATCTGCCGCGCTGTGTGAAATGTGGAGAGCAGCACAAATCCGGGGAGTGCACAAAACCGAAACGGGATCCTGCAGTTTGTGCATTGTGCCTTGAAGGACATCCAGCGAACTACAAAGGCTGTCAGATCTACAAGAATATTAAATCAAGATATCAAAAATCCCGGACCCAAGAAGAAGCAGAGGCATCAAGAAGAGAACCTAACGCATCAAGAAGAGGACCTTCAAAAAAAATTGACCCAACGGTGTCTTTTGCACACTTATTAGGAGGTAAGAATGATGTTACTTATTGTGAGACCCTGCCGCAACAACAACACATACCTCAAAATTCTCAACCCCACCCTCAACATCCTAATCAAACTTCACCTAATCAACAGTTTTATCAACACCAAATTCCCCGCATTCCTCCTCCCTCAAATACCACAGATCTCACCAGTTTACTTACATCTTTCCTCTCCGAATTCAGATCCCTTGTTACTCCTTTGATATCTCTTCTCACCAATCTTGTATCACATTTTATCCCTCCCGCGAAAAATCCTTAAATGACTTCCAATAAACCTTTATCCATTCTCCTTTGGAATGCGAATGGTGTTAGAAATCACACAAACGAACTAACTACATTATTACTTGACAAAAATATTGACGTGGCACTAATTACTGAAACTCGACTAACCACTAAACAGCACTTCAAAATACCACAATACCTGACATATCGTACTGACCACCCTGACGGAAAAGCACATGCCGGTACTGCTGTCATTGTACACCAATCCCTCTCCCATCACCTACTCCCGTTACCTACACATGATTTCCTACAGTCCACCGCTATCGTGATAAAAACCTTTTCCTTTCCGGTTACCCTTGCATCAGCGTATTGCCCTCCTAACCGATCCATATCCAATGCCCAATTCCGTTCTCTCCTCGACTCCTTAGGACATCACTTCATCTTGGGTGCAGACCTAAATGCCAAACATCAACAATGGGGTTCCAGAACCACGAATACTCGTGGCCGAACCCTGCTGTCTGCACTCAATTCCCAACATTTTCACCTCCTTTCCCCCAACTCTCCTACCTACTGGCCTACAGATCCCAACCGTAATCCTGATCTTCTTGATTTCTTTATCCACAGCGGCTTAAGTCCCCTCAATTGTTCCATTACACGTCTAAATGAACTTTCCTCTGACCATAGTCCTCTAATCCTTAATGTTTCACTTGAACCCGTTCCCAAACCTTCTCCACCGTCATTTATTAGGGGCCCAGTTAACTGGGACCTTTTCCGCCAAATCATCTCCGATAAAATTGATCTTAACATATCCCTCAAAACTCCCGATGACCTTGATAGTGCCGTAAATTCCTTTACTACCACAATCCAACAAGCCGCCTGGACTGCTTCCTTCCCAAAAGACTCCTCCAGAATTCCTAAAAAGACCATTCTACCCCAACACCTCCTTGACCTAATCCAAACCAAACGCCGTGCCAGATTATTGTGGCAACGTACCCGACATCCTACCGACCGCTGCTCCTATAATTATTACTGCAAAAAATTAAAACTGGAATTAGCCACCTTCAGATCACATTCCTTCAACTCCTACCTATCCTCCCTTTCTTCTCGCGACAATTCCCTTTGGAAAACCACTACCAAAATCTTAAATCCTCACCGCATTTCCCATCCCCTCCGACGAGATGATGGCTCCTGGGCAGCATCTGACGAAGATAAGGCTGAGGAGTTCGCCATTCACCTATCCAATACATTTATTTCACATCCGGAATCCCATCCTGCCCACACCGTAACAGTAGAAGAACTCCTTACATCACCAATCCCACTTTCCTTGCCCCCAAAAGCTATTCATCCTTCCGAAGTGAAATTTCAATTAAAAAAATTAATCCCCCGTAAAGCTCCTGGACATGATCTCCTTACCCCTCAAATCCTTCGACAACTTCCATCCAAAGCAGTCATATTCCTTACATATATCTACAATTGTATCCTACGCACCACCCACTTTCCTCTGCTATGGAAACACTCCACTATTATCCTTTTCCAAAAACCAGGCAAACCTCCCAATATCTCAACATCCTATAGACCAATTAGCCTACTCCCAATCCTTTCAAAAATTTTTGAAAAGATCCTTTTGAAACGAATCCTACCCATTATAGAATCCCAAAATATTCCTTCCCATCAGTTTGGTTTTCGCTCCCAACATTCTACTGTTCAACAAGGACTCCGAGTTGTTGATCATATTTCCTCAGCCCTAGAAAACAAGGAATACTGTTCGGGTGCATTTCTGGACATTGCACAGGCATTTGACCGGGTATGGCACTCCGGACTGCTCTTCAAGCTTAAAATCCATTTACCTCAGTCCTTGTACCTAGTCCTCCGATCCTACCTCTCTGACCGCTCCTTCCGAGTTCGCTGTGGAACAGAATTTTCCAATATCTACTCCGTTAAAGCCGGTGTTCCCCAAGGCAGCGTCTTGGGTCCCGTGCTTTACATCCTCTTTACTGCTGACATCCCTGTTCATCCCGATACTTTTCTTGCAACATTCGCTGACGACACCGCAATCTTATCATCCAACTCTGATCCCAACATAGCATCCTTAAATCTCCAAAACCACCTCACCTTGATTGAGCACTGGTGTAATAACTGGCGCATTAAAGTTAATGAATCTAAATGCCAACATATTACCTTTACACTCCGACGCAGTTCCTGTCCACCAGTACACTTTAATTCCATCCAGCTTCCTTACTCAGACACAGTCCGGTATCTTGGCTTTCATTTAGACCGAAGACTAACGTGGAACCCACATACTAGACTCAAAAGACAAGAACTCAACCGACGATACGGCCAGCTATACAGACTACTAAACAGAAAATCCAAACTTTCTATTGAAAACAAATTACTTATCTACAAGACAATACTGAAACCTATATGGACATACGGACTTGAACTGTGGGGGACAGCAAAAGCTTCTAACATCAAACGTATTCAATCCTTTCAATCTAAAGTCCTTCGAACAATAGTTGATGCTCCGTTCTATGTAAATAACAAAATCCTACACCATGACCTTAATATCCCATTTGTCCTAGACCTTATTCCAGAAAAATTCTCCAAATTTCACCAAAACCTTACCTATCATCCAAATCCCCTTGCACAATCTCTATCCAGCACCACCCATCCTTACAATCCTCCTCGAAGGTTGAAGCGGCAGTGGCCCAGAGACCTTTTGTAAATAAGCATCTATTGGAGTTTTGGCAATGGCCAGATCCTCCACTCAAGCCCGAGTGTGTATGATTAGGTTAGTTCTTTTGATTATATACATTTATTTTATTTTATTGTATTTATTTTTATTTTATTTTATTGTATTTATTATTATTAAGTTTCTGTATTATTTATTTTTTTATTTTTATTGTAAATAGAGTGTGAGTGTGCTTTCTCTGATCACTATTATAAATGTCCTTGATGTGACAGAATGTAATATTTCTAAAAAAAAAAAAAAAAAAAAAAAACGAATATTCAACACAAATACAGTAACTCCACACAAAGCCCGCTCGCCTCCAAACTAGCCGAACACGCCATAACTCTCACCCACACATTTGATTTTGAAAACCCAACCGTACTTGCCACAGTTCCCAATCACCGAAAATGAATACTTTCTGAAGCTATATTTATTAATCTGGAAAAAAATAATCTGGTAAACCACAAAGTCAATAAAGAAAAGATCTGCAACACATATTCAAATATTTTCCGCCTCCTAAAACAATAGTCTATAATCATTAAAATTTTGTTTTTCATTTTTCCCTATTTCCCCGTCAACTTACATAGGTAACTACTCCTACATTTATTATATATATATATATTATATGTATATATAATGCCCATCCTCAATATAAATATATACTGCAAACAGGCACAGATATGTTTATACTAATACTATTAGAACTATGTAATCCTTAATATAGTACATACTTCTATTATGATTAACATTGTCAGTTTTTAAAATATTATCCTACTTATCATTTCAATCCATTACAATTGTCTTTATTATAAATATTATTTGGCTAATCATTGTACACATTCAAACTATGTTATATTTATATTGATTGGCACCCCTTATGTTCATTTTATTACTAGCCAATAGTCACAATTCTGTAACCATAAGAAACAATGCAAATCTTGTACACATCTTGAATATTTAGTCAGCAAATTATTTACATTCTACAAACAGAAATGTTACCTCCCTCCGTCCCTCTGACTATGTTTACCTCCTTTTGCTATCTGAAAAAGGACAACTGGGAAATCCTCCCCCGACCCTTTCACTTACCTACCAAATGTGTCAGTACTTGAAAGCCTTCAGTGCTCGAACCACGATTAGTAAGAGAAAATATTACAAATTTTTATAAATGGATTATATACATTATTTTTAGTTTGTATAACTTTTTACATATTTCATTTTTAATATTGTGTATTGTAATAATAGTTAAGATTCATGTACCATCAATCACTATAGTTTATTATTTACCATTATCGGTCGTATAATATTATATCTCTGATTGTATTTTAAAATTTTCAGCCTGATGATGACTCACATGTTTGGGTTGAAACGTCGGCACAAATAAAAAATTTTTATTATGACTGCATCCTGAATATTTATCACCCATGATATGTAGAACAGTCGACTAGCTTCCTTCAATAATTCATTAAACTATGTTATGATAACATTATGTTTTTAATGGTATTTTACTATGTTTATTGTAAAATTTGATATATATTTTTTTTTACAATCCATTACTGTAATATCCATACACCATTGTTTATTTAACCAAACCATACATAGGCCATTCTTGGAAGCTGTTATTAAAATAGCAGTAGATAACAAACCAGTGAACATTTACCAATACAGGCATCATCAGGACAGAAAATCATATAAATGGAGCGCAGATATACCACATCTCACTTCAAGAGCTTAATACAGATTACATTATCCTTAAACAGTTTAACTTACTATTTCGTATGTAAACATATTATTATATTTATACTACTTCTTCAACTCCTCGAAGAAGTCTGACTAATTATTATAAAGCCTGATTTTATTATAGTTATCCTTTGATTTATTGTAATCTCTTTGTATTGTTTTCTGTATATCTATTTTTGATTTTTATTATTATTATTTATTTTCCTCTATTGTCCAATTTTTGGAAAATATGAGCTTAACCATAACCATGTAATTAAAAAATGATAAGATATATGTATTTTTTCATCAAATACATACATGTATGCTTAATGCATGGAACATGTAAAATTTAACAAATAAACGGCCTTATAGAGGGTTACTGCATGAGGGAACCAGAGGAAAATATATAAAAGGTTGATAATAGACATTATGATCTACAAAAAAGTTTATATGTACAATTGCCCAATTTGCCGCAGCAAAGTAGTATTTAAGATTTGTGTTTTTTTAAGTGAGTAACTTTTTTGATGAATAGGAAGCAATAACTTAAAAAATATTTGATTTAAGTAAATAAACATTGTTCCATAGTAAACTAGAGAAAAATTATTTCGAACTAAAGTAGAGTTTGCCATTCTTAAGACTATTTAAAGAGGACTATTGGGTGAACAAACACAGCTAAGTTCAGTTTTAAAAAAAGTCATAAATTATTTGTGATTTTTTTTTATCATCATCCAACTATACTACCACACTATAGTTACCACACTATAGTTACCACACTTTTCGAAAAACTTTCTCTTTTAGTAAGCATCGAGTCTATATTAATTAAATTTAGGTTTATTAGGAAAATATTTCTTCATACATTTTCATATAACAGATTATTCTTTTCTTTTTTTTAATACATGATATAAGATAACATAAAATTATTAGATATTTTATTATTTTCTAATGAGTTACTTGATTGTATATATACAATTTTGTTTGTAAATATTAAAAAAAAGTGAACAGTAACTTACACATATGGATTGTTGTTTGAAGCTAAAAAAAGTGATTTAGGACACTTTTTGTAATATGGAAAACATTCTCCATGCTCCAAACCCTGTTTCTCTGCCTTAACATAATCACTTAAAATGTCAGCAAATGGAGATTTACTGGCCCTGAAATAAAACAATATTTTCAATATCTGTTTGAAACTAAAACAAAATTTCTAATAATGGAGCATATGATTTTTTAGGCGTATTTTAATGGACTTAATCAACAATATGAACATTCTAACAAAAATTGATTATTGATTAAACATTTTAAAATTATAATGATATTTTTAAATATTTGATAAAAATAGTTAAAATGTTAGTCTATGTGAAAAAAAAGCCATCAATATAAAATATCTTAATGATTTAATAATTCAATGTTAATTTATAGTATTTCATTTTCATTTTGGTTTTAGTTTGTTTGATTAAAATCTATATATATATTCCAGACCTATACATAATTGATGTATATTTTCCCTTATTTTATGAAAGGATTGACATTACTTTTTTTAATAAATCAATATGTTAATGAAGGAATCATTTGTAGTTGAGCTCTTCATTAACATGTGATAATATTCACTATTGTCCATCTGGTTGCCAGTCACAATTACGTCAGACAATGCTTTTCTCTTTATTAACTGATTTAAGTCTTTCATAGAAACACTTTTACTGTTATATTTAAAAAGTAAATAATTCGCAACTACATGGAGCAATCGACTATCGAAGAAATACAGAATTACAATTAATAATGTATATTGCCATTATTCCAATTTCAAATATATTAATTTTATGTATAAGCACAATAAATATATTCTACTAGATATACTGTATGAATATTCAATTTTGGATATTAATTATTTCTTATTTTATGAAATTAACTGTTTTATGATGTGATATGAATAAACCAACACTTATTTTCTTTCCAAACTGTTATACATGGATATCAGAAAATGGGCCTTCAACACTGATAAGTTACAAAAATGACTATAATTTTTTTAATTAATATAAAATATAAAGTATAATTGCATAAAATGTAAGATTGAAAATAGTAATTAAATAATAATACATACGTAAAAAATAGTTTTAATATTTCTCCAAAAAAGCCAAGATTTCGCAAAGAGTATCCATGAACTTCACATATTGCTCTTAAAAGGCATGCTTTTCCATCAAGTCCGAAGTTTGAGAGAAAGTCCTCAACAACAACATACAATAGTGCTCTAGAAACAAAGTAATTCTATTTTAATAGTTTTTTACTGATAATATAAATTAATTAGTGTTATTAAAAATCATTCTGAAGTTAACTAAACATCAAATTGAATAGTGAACATTTAAATATATATATATATATATATAAGTCATTAAACAGTTATGAAAATCATATTGATAAAATAGTTCCAGTTTTAAAGATTTACAAAATTCAGATAGGAAAAAAAGCAGGTTAAGTGGATTTCTTCAAATAAGTCTACTATACTAGTAATTGTCTGTAATATTATCCCTAGCATATATTCTATAATAAATGACTTTCTGTTGTGAATTTATAAATTTAAAAAAAAAAGTGAGCTAAGCGGATTTCTCTAAATGAGGTTACTAGAAAGTAATTGTCTCTGATAATGTATTTATCATGTTCTTCAATAAATTGCATTAAGTTATGATATAAAGATATATCTTATTTAAACTAACCTTTCTCCTCCATGAAATAAGCTTGCTGGGTTAGGTGGTATGTTTTCTGATGTTGCTCGAGATGATCTTTTGGTATTAAATAGACTTGCAACATAATCGGCAAGAAGGGCTCCAGCACTTCTTCCCAAGCCTCTAGCAATTATTGGAGGTAAAGCTCCATATGGATTCTGATTATCCGTTAGACCGAGCATGTCAAAATTAACTGTAATTAATACATAAATTATAAAAAACACACAATTTAGGAGTCAATAGCACCTTTCATATGCACATTTAATTAATTTAATTTAAATAATTATTTGTGCGATATATAAGAAAAAACATATCAACTTACTTGTGAATGGGAGGCTGATGGTCATGTTGGAAAGAAATCCTTCTGGAGGGTACCTGACAAATGGCATGGAGATAGTTGGAGTAATGGTGAGGAGAGTACCAGGAGGAAGTGCAAGCCTGCCATCATTAGTGATCCACAGAATTCTTTTCTGTCTATGGTTTATCTTTTCTTTTCCTTGGCACAAACTGCTCACTAATAGTCCAATCAATATCAGCAACCACCTCCCCATATCTAAAAAAACATTAAGAACTATTAAACCCAATAGCTTTTACATCAGCACGAATCAAAACTAATAAATCCAAAATCAACAATTTTTATTTTAAATGAAAATAATTAATAAACTAATATTTAAAATCTAAAAAAAAAAATATATTTTTATCGACACAGAGTTGTATATTTTTGGTTGTAGTAATTTCTATATTTCTTTTTTTTAGGAAAACACAACATTATCACACTGTCGATCATACCTCACTGCATTAGAAACAATATGCTCAATGGTCATTCTTGGTGCTTAAAGTGTATGAGATTGAGAATCTCTTGGCTTTTTAAGACATATGTCTTACCATAAAATTTCTTCTGGAAATGACAATATAGATTTTTTAGAAGTAATTTACACCAGTAGGTTCTCTCTTAAATAGAAGCCATACATGTTTCTGTTTAAATTCTTGATTTTCAAAATAAAATTTTTTTTAATGGAAGTGCATGTCTTGTGTGATTTTTTTTTTTACTGAAAAGTATATTTAAAGATATGGATATCTTAATGATTTTGAGCTTGATTTTTGGTGATGGGCCAAAAGTAATCAACGATTATTAAAGTATTAGTAAGTCATAAAGTAAGTTAATAGTATAAAGAATCATAATAATCATAATTATTTTTAAGTTTAATTATTTTATTTTATTTGTTTAAAAAAATCTTTTAGATATTATGTATTTACTGCATATTCGTTAACAAGATAAGATAAATAATATTACAACTGAGTAACAAAAGATTGAAAAACATATAATTTACAAATCATATTGAGGCCTGTACACACTTCTAGAGAAAACGTTGACGAACAACCTCAAATCACATCAAATATTCACAACGAATCATCTTATCAATTTCCGTTTTGAGCCTTGTTAATATTTAACAGAACATATATAGAAAACCAAAGAATGAATAGGAAGTATAATGAATTTATTTCAATTCGTGTATTTTTTAAACTTATTTTTAATGATAATCTTTAAATACTTCATTTTTCACTCGCATTATTTTAAATAAACAATATTAAAGATAATATTTCATAGATCTTTTCCTATATCATTTATTTAAAATAATTACTGAAAATGAATAGCTGCTCTAATTTACATTTATTTAATACATTATTTTAAGAGGTTACGTATAATATAATAAAGAAAAATAATCATAACACGAGTTTATTTATGCTTTTTGGATGAATTAGTTTAATTTGAATTAAATTCAACTGCGCCCTGCTTTCTAATTAAAATAGCTTTTAATTTTATCTTATTTTGTTCAAGTAATGTATTTCAGGCAAATTTTTCAAAATAACAATTTGTTATTTGTTAATAATATTGCTTTTCGAGTTGTAGGGCGAGTTCATGAAATAGTATTTTATATTGACCTCGGCTTAACTTTTGATCTATTTTTTTTAATCAATGCACCTTTTATCATACTATATCATACAAAAAGTTATTGGAACCCAATTCGTGCTGTCTAAAAGATACTGTGGGACGGAATTCAACCGTTTCTTGGATTTCGGGGCCCAATTCGTGCTCAACCATCAAATTTATGGGTCTATAAAGATCAATAAACTGGTGGTATCTTTAAAGGGCCTCCAGCCATTAAGTTTTAAGTATTCTATTGAACTGATTTCTACAGCAATCAGGATATTTATATCTCATAAATAAATTTTAAGTCACCCACAGTATATCTCGTCAGTGCAAGTTTTTTTTTTCTAATGGAAATATATAATTGCAGTTTTTGATGGTTAAGAAATATATTCTATTACAGTCATTAATCACTCTGTTCAAAAAATAACGATTTTTTTTTTCTAAAGTCATGAATCCACTATTTTATATTTAAAAGTAGTTATATTTAAGTCAAGTTTTGGGCGGACAAATAGGCATGTATAGGAGAGTTTCTGGAGATGGGTCTTAAAAAACCTAGTGGTTAACTAGTGATATCTAGTGCCTTTCATGATAACTTTGTGCTTTTTTAGCAGTCATTTAAATTAGGCTCATCCCCTTGCCCAACCTTCATTGTTAGAATGTGTATCAAAGCTAAAAAAATTAATTATTTTTTTGAACTTAAATAAATAGGGAAATAGACACAAAAGTCATAGTGAATGACAATCATCTTATTAGAGAAACTAAACGCTGTTTATATTTCTATATAAACTAATATTGTGTAATATATTTGATACAAAACTTGTGAAAAATTTAACAATATCATTAATATATTATAATATTAATAGCATTATTAATAAACTATATTATTATTATTATTTATATATTATCAATATCAATATATATAATATACATAAAATATATAGATTATAAAAAATGTACTTATGTCTTAAAATATTTTTCTTCACTATTTATCATAGACGTTGAAAGAATTTCAGATGAGTTACAAATGGAATTAACAGATTTACAAAATGACATGTATTTAAGAAATAAATTTCAAAATAATGATATACATTATTTTATTAAATTGAAGAATTTTAGAAAAATTCCGAGTGTACACTTACGAAAAACAAAAGTAATGATATTTTTTGAAAGCTCCTGTATTTCCAAACAATTATTTTCCGTCAAGAAAATTATTAAAGCGATCACTGATTAAAATGAAATGATGTATGGTTTGAAAGCTGCTTACGATGTTTTTATATGCTAATTTTGTTAATAAAGAGATACTTTGATTTACTAGGAACTATTTCATTTATATAAGTTATATACTGAGGGACTTACGGCTAATAACCATTTTAAATTCTTGATAAACCTCTTCTGAACTAACAACCTCGGTCAGTCGATTAAAAGTCGTTGCAATCTATTCGAAAATGTAAATTAAATTGGTGAAATTTGAAGTTCATTTAACGGAAGAACTGACGACTGATTACAATGAATTTCTTAGAGAGAAGCATAGAATATGACTTCTAGGGGAGAACCCGATGACAACAGCTATTTCTTGTGAAATAAGCAGTCAAGAAGACTTGAACATGTAATTAGCATGGAAGGCACTGGAGATCGCTAGTTAACCGACAGCCAGTTCCATGTCGCTGCAGTGCAGACAACCCTCTTGATTTGTTGCGATGAAGGCGGGAGTTAAGGAGTTAGCTCCAGAGGATAACAGATCGCGGTGTTAGACCAAAGGCTTTAACATCTGTTGCCAACCGAAAGAATAATCTACTTTAAAAGAAGCTTAGTCATTTCCTTTAATTCTATTGGAACAATATTACATCCTCAGATATTAAATACTTTACCGCTCTCCGTTACATGTATTTTAATTATTTATTTTACAATTATTACATATAATTGTACGTATAATTATTATGTATAATTATAATTACAATTATAATTATATATTTTTTAATTATATCTTAAATTAGCGGACTGATTCCTTTGACTTTAGTTAATTCCAAATATTGATAATGGAAGACAAAACTAACTATATCGCAAGGAGGAACTAATAGTAGATCTCTCGGTCAGGTTCGAAACGAATAATCAAAATCAAGAGTTCAAGATACAGAAAAAGTTTGATATGAATTGGCCGATCGCCTTCCCCTCCCCCTACTCCTGCCAGTCCCCCTCAATAAAAATAAAGAGAGAGGGTGAGGATGTCGTTTTGCCCTCCCCCTCCAATATTTCGGAAAAAAATTACTACAATCAATAAAAATTATCAACATGAATGAATAAAACATGTAAACCAAAAGCAACTAAGAAGACAGGAAAAGTCAATTAGATTATATTTAATTATATGTAGATATATACCCAAGAATTTTAACATTCATTCATGTGGGCCCTTCTTTTTTTTTGATATTTTATCTCATTTCCCGCGGAAAGTTTAAATCCCCTGAGAATTGAGAGGTCATCTCACTGCCCGAAACCTTCAAATGAAAAAAAAAATGTAATATGTTCAATTGCATTATTAACGTATTTTCGAATATACCCTACTAAAAAAAAAATCTGGTGCGCGCAGCACACAACTTTCACTTACTGTTCAACTTTGAATAGAAATTATTTTCTTGCCATGTTGGGATATTAAAAAAAATTTTAATTGTATTTTTAACCGAGCCAAATCTAAAATCTTACAGCTAACAAATCATAAAAACCATTAAAATAACAACAGTCCTATTTATTATATCACCGGTTGATTATGGGTTCTACGATCCGTTATTATGGATTGTACGACCATTAGTTTTTAAACTGTTATTTTCCATTGCTAGTTTAAATTTTACTAAAATGGAATTGAGAGATTTGTATTGTCTGTCATAGACAAGTCAAAAGTTGCCACGCTAATTGGAAATGGATACTGTTGGAATATCACAAAGGGAAAACTCATCAAATAATTCACTAATTTAATTTTCTAAAAGGTTACATGATGATTTTTCGGAATAAACGGACGATTGATACCTAATAATTTAAATATAATATCAGATCTAGAGTTATTAAACTACAGTAAATATATTTAAGGTTATAAATATATCCATGAAATATTTTTATATTTCACTTCTTCTTTCACACAAGTACAATGAAATAGTATCTTAAACAGTGCCATTGCCTTGAATCCGCAAATACTTTTTCAAACTTAAAAAAAAATGTTAAAAGTTTACATTTAGTAAGAAAATTTCATTTAATTTCCTTGAAAACACGTGATTTACGTTAAATAATGTTAGTTTTTACAAATTATTATTTATATTTTTTTTCGCCACTCTTCGTCACCTTCTACAACTTTCTATATTAATTATTGTTTTATTTTTCTAAAATTATGCGCTTCTAAAATTCTACGTATATTATAGGTATACCTTCTGACTATTATTTCCGGAGATTCATTTTCTACCTGGATAAGCACTTTTATTGTTTCCTTTTTTATTAACTTATCAAATTCTTTCAAAAGTCATACTTAGCATTTTTTTGTAACTCTTAATAATGTGAGATGATTAATTATTTAAAATAAGCCATATTAAAGGTACTTTAGAGCAAGACGTATATGAACATAGGGCATTTAAGCCC